ATTTCACCTTCCTGGATATACATTTGATTTCACTTTCCTAGATATTTTAGTTTACCATTAGATGTTAATAAAATGATATTGTGGTTTTTGACTTAAATATTGGTACTTGGATTTTATTTCCAATGCTATCACCTGTTGCTTATTGGTGATTGAATTTGGATTTTATTGGTTATTAGTACTTTATTTTGGTTATTGGTACTTGGATATACGTTTTGAGTTTGAATTATTGATCTCTTGTTCACTGTTTGCCTCCATTCTTTATAAATTAGAATGTGATATTATCTAAAAGTCCAAACTGAGAAACCAAACCAAACCGATATGGTTTGGGTTGGTTCGGTTTAAGAAAGAGAGTGGGTTGGTTTTGGTTTTAAATTCACCCAAACCGACTACTTTGGTTTGGTTTCGGGTTGAGGTCTAAACCAACCCAAACCAAACCACGCCCAGGCCTAGCCTTCAGTGAGTCCGTTGTAAAACAGTCAAACATATGTTCGTGTAAAGACTTTCCTATCATTGGTCCAGACACAACTAAAAGAGAGTCAACTATAAATCCAAATGCCTGATATTAGTGTGACCTCAAGCATGTGTTCGAAGTAGAAATATTGCATTTTGAAAGTTTCATGATTCTTAAGAACACCTCATACCCCTACCAGAAAACATCCAATAAATCCTTCATGACCAACACATTCATCACAAAAGCCTCCACTTCTCCATCCGAATAAAAGGTGAGAATCAGTCCCAATATTACAACGAAAGTGCCAACACAATCACAAACGTAAAACCATCATGAGAGACATTATTCTAGACAAAGCCCTCCAATCATCATCTGCCATGGTCAACCACCAAAAATTTAATATTTGATTTTACTAAGCTAAGGAAATATCAAAATCTATAAAATCGAGGGATTACTTACATCTCCTATGAACTATGAACTTCGATAAACTAATTTGTTATTCTGACCATGTGGTTATCATGTCGATTTGGCTTTTTTTTTCTCTGACATGGCAAAATTTAAGGCAGTATATACAATTTCCCAAAAATATGAATTTATTTTTGGTTCAATTGAAGCATAAAGTTATTTGACTAAGTTCTATATCGCTAATAAGAGAGAGAGAGATTACATAAAATTCATCATGTTGATATCAGTCATTGGCTACGGTATCTTTAGATATACAGAACATGTTGAAATATAGCACTGATGTTGGTTAAACTAATGTTTTCAAAAAATCTCTGTTAATTAGAAATGACAAATTCTCATATATCTTTCATCACTACTATCAAAAGATGAACAAGCAATCCATCCTAAAACTAAAGGGCTACTAATGTAGTTTCTAAAAATTAGGAGTGAACATTGCTTGCGGCTGAACCGAGAGGCTTTCGGTATCTTATTCGTAATTTCATGGGAAGTGAAATTCAGAAACACACAAATTTTGAGTTATGGGTTAAAAAAGGCTCTGGTAACAAGTCAAGCAAATCACCAAAGCTATCAGATAAACTAACTAAATTGTTTAATTCTTCAATCTCAGAGATCATCTTCTCAAGGAGAACCTTAATGTCAACATTTATCAAAGTATAAATAGCTATAGCAGCCATGGAACCTGTTTGGTCGTGGGATGGAGTATTCACTAGTCCTATAATGATATACTCCAGTTACTTGAGGTTCCATGCAATAGACATTTTGGCAGTATGAATAAATGCAAACACAGATCCACCAAAACTCAACAAAATTCATCAACAGAGGTAGCACAGGTATATAAAGGAATTATAATAAAAGCCAAAACTGATTTCATTTAAAACACAAGTCTAAGTGTGTAGTTGTGTAGCTCCATATTGAAGTGTTGTGCAGGTGAAGAAGAATGTAGACAAACCTTTCCAGCATGAGTCGCAGAAAGCATGGCCACAGGCTGCAGAATGTACCAGCTCATGAGAGTAGTTGTCAAAACAGATCCCACAAGTCACCTGCCAGGATAGGTTTTAAACACGAATGGGAATGCATGTGAGCAAGGGTGATACAACGGAAACAAGCTTATGCACCATGCAATGTCAAGAAACTGATACTTACTTTCTTGGCATTCAAAAATTGAACCACTGGCTTCTCAAATAAACCAACAGATTTACGGACTCGTCCTTCATCAGCAAACCATTGTTCATGCACATCGTTCACATTCCTGTATAATAAATTAATAGCAGATATTGTCCCATGAAATACTGTAAACAATACCTTACACGCCAGAGACTCAAAGTACATGTACAAGTTGCTTGAAAGAAATTGTCTCGACCAGACTCCAGAACCAAAGTTTCTTGAAATATATTACCAATCCACTATGTTAAAAAGTCGAAGAAAATAAATTACCAATTATAGCGGCGCAATAGTATGCATGCTGCTTCTCTTGAGATGGAGAGAACATTAGAGATTCTCATAATATCTTCACCTTGAATTTTCCGTATGTCTTCTTCCTTCAAGACGGTATAATTCTTCTGAAACATACACAGTAACACATAATTCCAGCAGAATACAAATAGAGAAAGCAAAACAAATGAATTTTCTTGCTCATATAAGTCACTTATTTCAGATGAGAGGCAAAAGTCCTAACTCAAAAAGTTCAAATGGAATTGATCTTCATAATTCTCAATGTAGATTGTATTCATAAAAGTCATGCAAAAGCTCTCTAATTTATTTCTCATCTAAATGTGAAAATTAAATGCATCCTTACGTAGATTGACTTTGTCCCATGTAGCATACAAGTTAAATAGATAGGTGCAAGATGGCTATAAAAGGAGTTCCTAGGCAATTCAGAAAGGTGTATGAATCAAATTAGATTCCAATACAAGGGAGAAAAGAGAGAAAAGAGGAGTCTTGGGAGTACTTGAAGGCTTTTCTCCAATTTTTGGAGTTCTCCATGAGTTCATGTGTTCTTTTGTGTTAATTATCTTTTAATCCTTTATATATTTTTAAAATTTCTTAACCCTTTTGCTCAATTGGTCAGGCATTGGGTTTGCTCCCCAATGGTCACCAGTTCGAGTCCCCTCAGGGTGAGGGTACTCAGGTGAGTACCCGGCCGTAAACTTCAAGGCTGTGCAATTAGTCGAGGTGCGCGCAAACTGGCCGCACATCCACAGTTATCAAAAAAATATATATATATTTTTAAAATTTCTCAGAAGAGTATTTAAGCCGTCACTCTGAAAACACAGCACCAGATTCCCAACAATTTCTCAATATACGGCAGAAATTGAGAGCCAGTACATACAGTTAGGCTCTTATCAATCAAATTTGATTCATCAATTAGACTCTTATCAATCAATTCGAGGAATTACACAGCCCGCCAGAAGACAACGCGTGTTAATAATTGCTAGAATTCACATTCAAACCTGTGCGCGGATAGCGAAAACTTCATCGGCATCAGAGTCAATAGGCATGAAGTCATAATCACCATCGTCAATATCGTCACCGCCGCCACTGTAATAGTCATCTTCCTCCTCCGCCGACGTCAATTCGTTCGCGTCGTGCATATAATCCTCCGATTCCATAGAAAAATAGGGAAATTGAAAAGAAGAGTATCGACTATATTAGGTAATAAAAACGCCGGCAATGGTGGTGATGCAACTCAACGAGTCGACTCAGTTAGGACTCCTTTGCCAAAAGAGCTCAATATATGCAATCCCTGAGGGGGCCTGGTATATTTTGGGGAGAAGAAGGAATCGCCTTTTCTGCCCCCCTTTTATAATGGGAAAATTAGACCTAATACTCTAAAAATTAATCCAATTAGATTAATACCCTAAATTAATTAAGTGAAAATTACACCTTCCCCTACTTTTAGAGATCTAAATTCCAAAATCAGATTTTAAATTTTAGTTTGCAAAAATCAAATATTTTATATATAGATATAGATACAGATTTTTTATATTTAATTAAATATTAATAATCCTTAACAAATAAAAGAGCCACTTTTAAAATTACTGTTCCCAATTTCGTCCTCTTAAAACGACGCCGTTTTGGACAAAAACGTTACCCC